TTCGATGTAATTCTTCTTAAATCTATTTTTACTTTGCAGCCATTGAATGATTTGGCTTGTAACTTGTTTGTGTGGTAGGTGTTGCTTTGTCTTTCCATGCTTATGTTGTATTTATTTTCTGTGGAATTTCAGTGTTATGGAAACGTCTCTGTGTTGGTGAGAATTTTTATGGTGCACGTGAAACTTGCATTGAAATTTCCGGGACAATTAAAATGATGCTCGTAAATAAGTCCTAAATCAGATTAAAAGCTGTGCAATAAAACCCATCACAATATAGTGCTGTTTGGTGCAGATTTTTGCTCATAACTAATTTTTGTGAAGAATATGCAAAATTTGGATTAGTGGTGTTCCATCCACCTGGGAGAAGGAATTGTTTGGGGTTTCATTTTGAAGAGAATACTTTCTTTTCTCTCGAGAAATGTGGCCAAATAGATGATACCTGTATTTTTACTGTAGTTTGGGCTTGTTTTTTCAGGAATTTGACTTTCCAGGAGCCTCCAGAGATGCTTTAAGGACTGCCCGAATTTCAGGGATTGCTGAGAAGCAGAACTTTAGTGGGAAGTGATTTTTATTTTGGTGTGTGTGTCCCTCAGTGTGAGACAGGAAACTCTCAACTTGAGGACAGAGGTTCTGTTTTTTGGAGCAGGGATTTGGTGCCTGAGACTGGCTGAGAATTTTTAGGAACCCAGTGAGGAATGAGAAGTGTCGTGCAAGGGCTGTTTGTCCTGGTTGGACGGTGGGAGTGTCTTTGTTCCTGACATTCCCCATTTCCCAGGCTCAGAAAAGCACTTTTTGGCTCAGCAAACATTCACCTCCTGAAAGTTTCATCCCAGGATTTGGGGACACATCTGTGGCTCCAAAGCGGAGGGACAGGAACTGGAACCTGTGTACTGCAGAGTGGGATCACAGGATAACCCAGGCTGGAAGGGATTTTGGGAGCTCACTGATTTATGAGATCAGTGCATTGACAGCTGATCTGCTGGTGTTGAAGAGAAAATGTCTGTAATCATCTGCTCCTTTCAAATGTTGAGCTTATATTTTAAAGAAGGGCAGAATTCCAAGTCAGGGAATCAGTGAATAATTTCCTCATCTGCTTTAGCAAACTGCAATAAGATTTTTTTTTAAATATTATCAGAACCAAAGTAGCTACACCAGAGATGACATCACAATATTTATGGTCTGTTACTTTCTTTTATTCCTGTTCTTCCTTAAGGATTCTCCTTCTTACCTAAACAGGGATATGCAAACCTATTTCTACACTTACTGAGCGTGACCTGATGTATAGAGAGGAAATTTCATCCTAAAGAGGTTGCACTCAGACAACTTTTAATAAAACAAACTTCCCACAGAATAATCTTCTTAATTTTAGTGGTACCTTGAGTGACAAGTTTCCAAGTTGCTACTCAGAAAGGGAAGAGAAAGAGAAGAAATGAGCAGGCAACCAAACCCAGAGAGTGGATTCTCAAGTAAAATGTCCTAATATGTCTTTATATGAAACAAATAAACACTAGCTTACATCTCATTCTTAAGATATTAATTTCAGAACTTAGGTAATGATCCTTTTTTTTCTTTTTTTTTTGAGTGATTTTTGGGTGTTCTGACCCCTCCCATTTGTAAGTATTTCCCCTAAATCCAGTCATTAATTCAGTGATCTGGGTATAATGGCCCTGGAGTGCAGTTGCATCCTTTGAAATCAAGCAGTAGAACCGAAAAATCATCTCTTTGCCATGTTCACTTCTGAAGTTCTGCTTCCTAAAAGTGTCTTCTGATGACATTTTTGGCAGCTGAACACGATTTGGGGTAGGAAGGGCCTTGCATTCTGTGTCTTCCTGCCAAGTGGTTTCATGCACTGGTTTTCTTACCAGTTGTCTCCATTTCTTGCTGTTGCATTTAATTTGGTCATTCTTAGTCATCAAATTGCTTTTCAAATTGTTCCCAGCCAACAGTCCCCCTTTTTGGGACGTGCCTGTGGCTGTTCCTGGGCTGTTGACAGCGGTCCAGAGGGTGGGACATGAAGGATCCATCGGCAGGATTGTGCCTCTCCATCCAGTCCTTGGTGGTGTGGAAATTCCAGCCTTCCACACTTGCCCTTTTGCATTAAATAATCCCATCTCTCCTCAAATCCTCGTTAAGGACCTTGTGTTAAGCATTTCACACACCAGTTAAGACCTACTCAGCATTTGAATTTAATTTACAGCAATTAAAACGTGATTTTTGAATGAGAGAGAGGGAAAAGTCATCGAATATGTATTTTATCCCTGTGGATAATGGTGCACAGACATTCCTGGGTTCTGCTGCTGTAAAATTGTTTTTGAGTATGATGAAAGTGAGTAAAATGAGTAAAAAATGGTGCTACAAAATGGGAGAGATGGAAAAATATATGGATGTCAGGATTTTGAGAAAAAAGGCAGAATAAGGTGACATCAGGAGGTTTGCACTGGGAGGATTTTAAATGAACAAATGCTGGGGTCATCCAGGTGAAATCCATAAAAGATCACGGGATCATTAAGGTTGGAAAAGAGCTTGAAGATCATGGAGTCCAAGAGGAGAAAAAGAATTTGAAATGAGTGATGACCAAGGCACAGATCAATATTAATTTGTTGCTAATTCTTGAAAGGATTAAATTCTTAAAGAATTCTTAAAATTCTTAAAAAGATGAGTGATAGGTAAGATATGGAACAAGGAGAAATTGGTGGTTTTTCCATGAGCATGGGGATGTAGGTGGTGTTGAAGGACACACCTGCATGTTGTTCTGTAATGATAAATAACAAACAGGGTCAAATTTGGACTGGAGATGGGTTGGAGAATACTTGGAGAGATGAGGAATTCGACTCCTTCCATATTATGGGAGATCCAGGTAACAAAGGAAGAGCAAACTGGAGAAACTGAGGGGGGTTTACAGCAAAAAATCAGGCAGAAAACGTGGAAAAATGTCCTAAAACCCAAGGTGTGGAGAAAGCTTTGTGTTTTCTTCCTGTGTCTGGAGGATGCTGGATTAATTGGGACACTGGATTGGTCTGGGCTGGAAATTTCTTTATGGGAAGGAGGAGAAACGAGTTGCATTGAAAGATTTCAAGAGCTCAAATTGGAGGATGATGGATCTTGGGAGCAATTCCGGTGGAGTGGAGCAGCCCTGCAATTAGAGCGTTTAAGTGGAGAAAAGGGGAATTAGGAAACTCCACAGGAAACTCCACATTTGAAAAACTGGGAGAATGGAGTCATTTCTGCAAATGAGATCCACTGTCTGTGGAGCAGTTTAGACTGAGAGAGAAAATAAGGCTCTTCATCCTCTTAGCAAGGCTCTTCTTTTCAGGAAAAGCTCGGGAATGGATTTGTTTTTCCTGCCTTATTTTCCCTCAGAGTAATGAAGGAATGGTTGAAATTGCTCATACCTCTGGAATGACATGTGTTTTTTAATATAGCTGAAATACTCTGTTGTCAATACATCAGGTTTTTTTGAAGGAAAACTAATTAAAAGCTGAGTTTTTAGTAATGACTGCTGGGGCAGTGTGGCCTTTGTGAGGTAATTCCACTGACAGTCATTTCCATGGGATCTTTTTATTCCCACGTTGTTGCTGATGGTCTTCCTGTAAAGGCAAAATGACACATTAGAATTTTCTGTCAAGTGCACGAAGAAAAGAAATAGAAAAGTTAGACATAGGTGTGTTTTTTTTCCCCAAGCTGGCCTGTCATGATGCTGCTGGGTGCTAATTGAAATGATGGGGTGTGCAGTATTTTGAGGCAAAAATGGGATTTTAAAGTTAAGGATGTTTCTTCTGGAGTTGAGTGGCTACTGGGATAAACATGGGTGGGTTTGTTACAGTCAGTGGAAACAAGACAAGGGGAATTTTGTGTGGACACTCATTCATCCACCTGTCTGGAGGTCAGATAATTAAGCTGGTTTTTAAAAAGTCAGTAGCTAAAATAACCCACTCACTTATAGAATGTAGCAGAGAGGGTCTTCCTTGGATTTTAGGAGTTCTGGGAGGGTGGGGAGGCCCTGGCACAGGTTGCCCCAAAAAGCTGTGGCTGCCACTGGATCCCTGGAAGTGTCCAAGGCCAGGTTGGATGGGGCATTGGAACAACCTGGGCTGGTGGAAGGTGTCCCTGCCCATGGAAGGGGGTTGGAATTAGATCCTTGAGGTCCCTTCCAATCCAAACCATTCCATGAATCTATGATTCTAGGAATTTCTGAGACTCTATATTGAATAAACTTAGAAAAATTACACACTTAGGGAAGGTTTTTTTTTTCCCCCCCGAATATTCTATTTAGCTCATTAATGAAACGCATGGATTTAAAAAAGTTGGCATTTTGCCTCGGTAAATAGCTGGAAGATGAAGTTTATTCCTGTAATTTTCCTCACACGAATTCCTGTCATTTACAATCTCTTGAATGAAGCTCCAAATATAATTTTCTATCCTTAAAGTCTCCCAGCACATCAGAAAATTGCCCACCAGAGTTAACTGTTACTGCTGAGCCGTTTTTCCTGTGGGTGCCACGGGAACCTGCGCCTTTGAATTAACAGATGACATCATTGGCACCTATGGCCGTGGGGAGACTAATGGAGATTTTTGGTCTATTTTTATGTAGAGCTGGAGGTTTTCTTGTCGTTTCTTTTCAATTTTCAGCTGATTTTTAACAATGGTGGCACTGAGAAGAACTGGGAGTTTCCAAGCTGGACTTGAAATAAAAGTTAAAACGTGCGTGACTTCCCAGTGTGATCCTAATTCCAGCCTCTCCATCTCCTGCTCCTGGCACCTTCCCATGATTCTGGGGAGGAGGCAATGCAAACATATCATTCTGAGGAGTATTTGGTGCTCATTAAAACCACACACACGCCCTCCTTTCCCCGGGAACGTCGGTTTGCTGCAGGTTGTTCGTGTGTCGCACGCGGACATTTTTTTAGCGAACAGATCCCTTATCCCTGCGAATGGGGAACGAACAGGGAATGGCTTCCAGGGAGCAAAAAAAAAAAAAAAAAAACCACACAAAACCCCTCCTATCCATTGTAAAAGGTAGGGAACCATGACATCCGTAAGCCAGCTTGGCACGGGAGGCGGCTGTTGGTGCCAAGATTTGGTGCCTGACCCACAGTTTCCCGTTTTTAAAGGTATTAATTGATTCGCCGGGAGCATCCTTTGGAAAAACAAGGATTCAGACAGGCTGGCACAGGCTGGAGCTCCGCCAAGGCTGCTCGGGAAGGTTGCCATGCTGGGAGCGAGCGAGCGAGAGAGCGAGAGAGCGAGCGAGCCGAGGGAAGGGGGGAAAAAAAAAAAGGGAAAAAAAAAAAAAAAGGCAAGACTTGGCACAGCTCAGTCAAATCAGCTCCTTTTGTCTGATTTCTCGGCTTGAGCTTCGGGAAAGAAAACCCGTCCTGGGGTAACAGGGGGAAAAAAAAAAACCCAACAAACAACTCCCAACTTTTTTTTTTTTTTTAATTATTTTTTATAATTTTCCTGGGTTTGCAAACTTCCAGCGCTTTTTTGGGCTCTTGGGAAGTGGTGGGACGTTAAGTGATGTTCGACTTGCCAGTGAGCAGGGAAATAAAAAGCTTCTCGTGGAGGCTCCACAAATGTGAGTTCGGACATTTGGGGAATGTGATATTTTTGGTGGTTGTTTTTTATTTTTTTTTTTAATATCTGATGGAACTGGGAGGGAGCCGAGAAACTTGGAAGATTTCAGAGGGGAATGCTGAAATAAAAGGGAGGATTTTCATTTCTTTTTTTTTTGGGCGACAACAAAAAAAAGTTTTCGTCGGCGTGAAGGTGCTTTCCAACCAACCCCGAGCGCCTTCGGAATATGCTCGGGACGGGAATTCCGGCGTTTCTCTCCTGTAACGCCACAGAAACCAACTTTTAATGGAACCTCCGTAAAGATTTCATCTGACCCAGCAAGGAAGTGAGAGTAGAGGGAAAGTTGGGACATCTCAATGGAAAAGTGAGTACGTTCTTAAAGCCACAATGTCTGTTTTTGCTGCTTGGTGCTGCCCTGGCTCCGTGTCCTGGTTTTTAGGGACAAGCCTGGAGAGCAGCAGGACAAGGAGAAGATAGCCAGGCTGTGCCTGAAGGGCAAAACCAGAAAGCAGAATGTGGTTATTCTACTGCTCTGAAACATTCCCTCCAGTGCAGCTTCCTAGAAAGCATCCGGAATGGCTGAATTTCCTACTTTTAGAGGCGATAAGAGACGGGAAAATCTTGGCTTCTGCCAAGTGAGGAGTGTTTGGAGGCGACAGAGCTGATGGCACTGGATACAGAAACTTCAGTTTGTAGTTCCAGGACCTGTTTGCTGCAAACAGTGAAAAAAATCCTGCTCTTTTCCCATGTGTGGATTAAAAAAAAAAACACCCCGTGACGAGTGAACCGTGGACGTCTTGTGGTTCCAGTAAAATTAAGGACCTAAAAAATCCATTGTCTGTTTTTCTCCAAGGATTTTCAGGGAGCCAGGCTTGTGATTCCTTAGGAGCAAATATGATCATGCTGCCTATTAGGCCTGGATGTGCTTGGATTATCCTGCTGCTGCTGTGACAATCAGCAGGATTATTCCAGGGGGTAACTGGAAACCGGAGATTTTTTCCGGATCGGCTTCACTTGGAGTAAGTATTATCCCATCCTTAAAGGCTACACTGCTCTCAGCCCGTGAGATGTGCAATTCCTGACATGCTGCACATCTCCCTGATTCCCCTGTGCTGAAAGGAAGTAAGAACCGACATTAATGAAAAGCATTTTCAGAGGAACATGTGTTTGTGTTTTAATTTGGGCATCGTTGGCATTTTGATCGTTCCACTGCTAAAAAGAACTGTGGGTTTGTTGGTTTTTTGATCTAAAACACCTTGGGTTGCTTAATGTTAACACTAAATTGGTTTTATAGCAAACTGTGTGTGATTTTTGAAAGGTACTGGAGTTAAATAGTGGGTGAGATGCTGCTGTGATTATTATTTGGAGCCCTGAAACCTTTTAATACGGCTCGGAAGTGATTGTGGAAGAGAAATTCCTGTTCTTCAAATCCTCCTCTCTTTTTAAATCGTTAAAAAAACATCCTCAACTGCCCTGTGTGAAAATGTGGATTTCCAAGTGAAGGAAGTGTTTGGAGGAGTTGGGTTTTGCTTTCTGTGCTCTGTTGTTCCTGCCCAGGCATTACCATGGGATGTGCTGGGGGAAAACAGGGATGTGTGGGTTTGCATCAAGGGGAGTAAGGCTGGAATTCTGTCTGTGTGGAATTCTGGAACGAATTCCCTTGATTTCCCAGGAATTAACGTTCAGTCTCAAAGCGTGTGCTGTTTTCTTTAATCACCACATGCCAAAACAAACCTTTAATCTGTGCCCCTATTAAAAGTCAGAAAACAATATGTAACATTTCTCGTGGTGCCTCTAAAGGAAATACTAGAATATCCTTTACATTTCTAAGTGATATATTAAAATAACCGTATTTCTTTTCCGAGAGAAATAAATTCGTAAATTGATTTCATAAATTCAGCCTTTAAACATGATCAACACGTGGGTCCTGGCAATGCCTTTATAAATAGAAATGTTTGTACAAATATTTCCAACATGTATCGACACTGAAGTTACATTGAAGTAGTTACCACAATGTCGAAAATACTGTTTATCTCTGAAATTTCTAGTTAGAGATTTTGGTTTCCTAAATGAAATTACACACCACTGCACGTTTCTTTTGGCCTACATAATGAAGTATTTTTTCTTTCTGCTAAACCTTTCGCTTTTAAAAGTTCATGTAAGTGCTTATTTTTTAGAAAATATCCCAATTTGGCAAGCTAAAAATTGAGATTTGAATGACATATTTTAAATGGTTGGAACCCCAACATTAATTGATTGCATGCAAATGAAATTTGGCAGTGGAATTTGACATGGTTTGTTTTATATATATAAAACACTCAACTATGGAATAATCGGGAGTTTTCTGGATACTTTAATCCAGATTATTCATTACCACCATTCATTTACGATCCTTAATTATTGGGTAGGTTTAATAACTTCATAAATGAACAATTGGTGTTTAATTCTTAATGAATCATTAATATCTATTTTCTATTGGATTGTGGCAGATTTGAGGGTTCGTGGTGAGGGTTTAACTTTGATTTTTCTTGTTAAACCACTGAGCCATGATATTATTTAATGTCAGAGCATCGTATTTGAACCCGTAATGGGCCTGTGTCTGATCTCACTTGTATGGACTAATCATAACCCAAGCTTTACCCTTCTGGTTTTACCAGTCTTAAAGCAGTTTGAGATCAAAATGGGACTGGAATGGCTTAGTTTGTGCCTTTTATATTGATAGATATAAACCATTTTTGAATGGCTCACTGTGAACTTCCTGTGAACCCACAGTGAGTTCTTACCGTGGGTTACTGAGAACCCACGTGGTCGTTGGACAAGGAAGAGATGAAAGTTCTCAGTGTCACCTTGGATTCTTCCTAAATATGGCTGTAGGATGATAATAGGAATGTTTGAATACAGTGTATGCAGATTTTGCATGTTGTTTTTCGTTCCTATAGGAATATTATCTTCCTATATGGAAGATTACCTTGATATTCTACCTTGATATGGTAGAACTCCACATCCTGCCACTGCTGAGTGTCCTCAGCTTCTATAACCAATATTTTTAAAAAACCCACATATATTTTAAGGCTCTTTCCATTTCCCATTTCCCATTATTCCAGTATAATTTCCTATTTTATTGCCCACTACATGCCAAGGTGTTTTCTCTCTGTGTAGCAACTTTTCTGCCGCTGGTGTCATCATTTTCATTATTCCATTTAATTGTAGCGTGTTTTCCTTCAGGTCTTGCCCCACCACACAGCAAGGTACATAAAACTTACTATTTTCCTAATAAAACTTAGTGTTTTTTCCTAATATTTTATCTGGAAGTCCACCATTGACCAAGGTGGTCTGAGAAAATTCAGGAAGAAGGTTGTAGCATTCCCGTGTTTCTTGTCATCTGTACCTTACCATAATTTAGTAAAGGCCACTGTTTTTATTTGTGCAACAGAAATTTTGGGCAAAATCGATATTATTTTGGCCACTGTAACTGTTAAAACAACATATCAGTGACTTGAGTAACTTTTGTAGTCGTGGGGGAGGAATAAACACCTTTTACAAAGTGATTTAGGTGGCTGTCACATCAGTCCTGTGAATCACCCTGTTGACCACAAAAAAAATTGGAAAATAGAATATAAAATTATGAAAATATGAATTTCTAATATTTTTAAGTTGCATTGTCTGCTGTATTCTCATTTGTTTTGAAGAATAGCTCACAGTTGTTGAGGCTCTGACTGATTCTGATAATCTTGTGGAAAGTGTAGAAATGATAGAAGCTTCTCCTCTTGATAATTATGAAATTCCATCCCTATCTTTCCAGTTGTTTTCCTGTAATTAAGTTATATCTAGTGTACATCTGTTTCTCTGAGTCATATTTGGTGGATGCCATGGAATTTAAGCTGTTTTAAGGGATAAATTATAGGTCGTACAAGGAATCCCCACTATCGTCCCTTCTTTACATTTATTGAATCCCCTATTTTTTGATAAGTTTACCAAGATCAAGCAGAGTCTTGGTGTCATCTTTTCTCCTAAATTCTTATTCCTGCTGACCTTTCAGCCTTTGCACAACTCTTGGTTTGGCTGAAGTTGCAACCTCTGTACTATCAAATGTTGGGGTTTTAGAACAGAAAATACGAAGGGGTTGCAAAACTTTGACTATTTGCCCTGTGTGCTCTTAATAAGTTGTTAATGAAGCTGATTAACAAGAGAGAAATTAGAGAATAATCCAACCCCTTCCATGGGCAGAGACACCTTCCACCATCCCAGGTTGCTCCAAGCCCCTTCCAACCTGACCTTGGACACTTCCAGGGATGGGGCAGCCACAGCTGTTGTTCCATGACCTGTTCCAGACACCTCCAGTTCCACAACTTAGGAATTAGATCCCAAGAAGAGGCTCTCTGACATGGACACAACACATTTGCTGACTTCAAAAAGAAAGTGGAAGGTCTGAAGAAAGGTTTGGTTTGAGTTCACTAAACTGCAGTGAGAAGATCTAGAGCTGCCCTGCAGGTCCTTAAGGAAGTTGTGAGTAAACTCTGGATTTATGACCCAGAAACTGTCTGGGATTGTGTTGTCCTTCTGTGGGACTGAGCAGGCCCATCACAAACAGTTCAATAAGCAAAGTTCCTGCCAGTTCCCTGACTTCTTGAAATATTTCAGGATGTTGTTCTTGATGAAGAGCATTGAGGGTGGCTTGGAGTATCTGAGAGTGGATGGGATTTATATTTAGCCAGCAGATTATCTCTGTTCCATCCTGTTGTCTCCACATTAGGATCCAGAATTTGGTATTTCTGCTGCGATAGGAGATCTAGAGTCGTGTACATGATGCTTTTCTGGACTGGTGTGAAAGGTGGGGAGTCCAGACTAGCCAGGTGTCACTGGGTGTCAATATATTTAATATGATTCTGATTTAATATTCCATCTAAATTAATATGAGAAGAATAAGAGAAGCAGCGTGAAGTCTTTGGTCTGCTAGATTGGATCAAACTGTAATATTCCTTTAACTGTCTTCTTAGATTATGCACTTAAGCTTTTTTTCCTGGCACATAGAAAGGTTTTAGTCCCAGTTTCCCAACTGCAAACGTTGGGATTCAGCACTGAGTGCTTTCTATTTGTATTGGTGTTGCAATTTCCATTTTCCATCAGCACTGCCCCAGATAGCATAAGAGCAGACACAGTTTCAGAGAGCTTTGTTGTGTGAATTCTTCTGTGTGGACTTTGTTTTGGGGGTCCCACAGCCCTGTTTTTTCCAGATAGGAAAACAGGAAGAAGGTCTAGTTTGCTTGTTCATCTAATGCACAGCAAGGAAAAACAAAGAAGTCTCTGGGCTATGTATTTCACATTTTTGTCTTCCACACAGAGTGATTTTTAATATAAAATTCTATCCCAGGTCAAAGCACCTGCAGAGACTGAGGGGAGAACAGACTGAGAGAAAAGGTGTAGGTGCAGGGGAAGCATATTCAGAAAAAACCTTCTGGTTTTTTAACTATATTGATAGAAATAGTTATAATTGATCATTATAGCATGGGAAGTTTCTCAGTATCCACGGATAAAATCTGCTCCAAGAAGTTTATGGCCAAATTGCAGGTTTGTTTTAGGTAGTTCTTCCATTTTTAATAACAGCCTGGGGTTTGCCCCTGAGTTTCTGTTGTAATCTGCTCCTGCTTGGAGAGTGTTGCACTCTTCTGTCCTCAGCTGTGGGTTGTTTGTTCATTGTCCATCTGCCTCCTGTTCTCCTGAGGTGGGAAGGCAGGAAAGACTTCAAAGGAGAGAGAGAAGGACTTCTTATCTGCTAATAACTGTTTAAGGCTTGCTGCTTTTATTGACATTGTGGAATCATAGAATGAATGGAATGATTTGGGTTGGAAGGGACATGAAAGATCATCCAGTTCCACCCCCTGCCATGGGCAGGGACACCTTCCACTAGCCCAGGTGGCTCCAAGCCCTGTCCAACCTCTCCTTGGACACTTCCAGGGATCCAGGGGCAGCCACAGCTTCTCTGGTCAACCTGTGCCAGGGCCTCACCACCCTCACAGCC